ATTCGTCTCATTTGTAGTAAAAAAATATGTTACCACACTTATTTTGCTCCACATTCACCCGACAAGTCCAGATCTTATTTGAAAAGTCGATCTGAACAGTCCTGGTGTGTGCGCCCTGGATCACTGTGTTCCTGCTCTAGCTGCTCCTTGGGCACATCCATCCTCAAACTTCCCTTCATCCATCCTCAAGAGTGAAGGGGTGGAGGAGAGTTTGACGCTCGGGTGGAGAACATTAAATATTCACACACAGTCGGAGAAACCTGCAAACAGGAGTGAAGCCATGTGCAGATCATTAACATCCTGGTTACTTCTGCAGGAAAACTCCCTGAACTGTGCTGGAGGAATATGTTTTTAAAAAGTGACATGTTCCCTCCGGGTTGCATCAGCTGAGGCGGGGGCAGAGCTCAGTGTGTGATTGGCTGTCAGTCCTGTCCGTCACCTCTCTCTTGCTGCTGGCTGCCCTCCAGCTCTCAGCTCATAAAGAGAGTTAATAATAGCAGTGAAGTCATTAAACGGAGCTCTGCTTCCTTTTTAACAGCTGAATGTGGAGGAAAGTGGAGAAGAGGAGTGAGTCACCTCGTATTCAAATAAAGAAGAAATAATGACACATCCACGAGCTCGAGAAGCAAAGGAGAATAAATACATGAAGGAGCATTTTTACTGTTTGCTCACAGGGATTGGTCGCTGCATGTTTATGTGGTTATTTTTGAAGTTTAAAAACAGAGACTTGCTGCGACTACTTTCTTCTGTTTTTGTAACTTTCTAATAATCTTTATAAAACAGAAATGAAACTGTGAATGTAGAAATATAAGTTTTTCAGGCAAGACAAAGGACACACATGCAGATTTATCTTTGTAGACGGTAGCCCTGTTTGGACCGCCGTGATATTTACACCCCTGCTGTGACATTTCACCTTCAATTTAAATGTCATGGAGGTGTAATGTGGGACCCCCACAGTGACCCCCCCTCTGTACCGTCTTCAGAGGCGTTACAGAGGAGAGACGGGATCAGCTTGTCTGACTGTGTGTGTGCATGTGGAGTGCCATGCTTCCCCGCCGCCAAAATGCAATGTGACCTCACAGACTGTGACATCACTATCACACCGCTGCAGAATCAGTTTGAACGTAGAAAAGACGAGATGAGCTGAGCTTAGATACAACACTTTTTGCACACACAAAAAAACAGTCTGAAAAGGTCTTTTGTGTCAGCAGAGTTTTTTGTCACAGTCTGAGACTTTTTCCCATCATGCACCTGGTGGAAATTTTGAAGTACAAACTATCGAGTGGAAATCTGAAAAGGAGGAGAAAGTGTTGGAGTTGTTGAGAGAGCAGGAACGCCTCTCTGACATCTCTTACTCTTTCCTTTGTACCACGATCAGACGATTATTTATTTTTTTGTTCTTTTTTTATTGTATTATTCTGATTTTGTTGTCTTCTTGTTTACGCTCTGCCTGTTGCTTTAATTGTCTCTCTGCTTTTATTTTCTGTTGTAAAGCACTTTGTTACTTGTATAGAAAAGTGCTATACAAATAAAGTATTATTATTATTTTTATTATTATTTAGAGGTAAACGTTGCTAGGTTTATGTGGGTGACCCTGCAGAAGGATCATTACTGAGGGGTAACAGTTTCTCTCCACCTTTCCTCCGTCTTCACTCGAAACAGGAAGTCTGATGTAGCATGGCAGGTTCTCTTCCAGCTTGTTGATACTTTATTTAAAAAATGTCTAAATGTAGAAGAACAGGCTCGTCCCTCCTCATGTCTCAGTCTGCAGATTGTCTGTGACTCACTGACTGCAGCTCAAACGCCGTCTGATGTAATGTTTGTAAATGTTGGAGCAGTTTGACCGGCCTGCAGCGCTGAACCTGAACCTGAACCTGAACCTGAACCTGAACCTGAACCTGAACCTGAACATGAACATAGATGAAGGAGAAGAAGAAGAAGAAGTGGAGACACAGCTGACCTGATTCTTCTGGAACGTTGCTCCAGATTCCTGCTGCTCACATTTCTGACCTGCAGGTCGAAGCCGCCCGCTGAACGCCTCGCTGTGTGTTTACACGCTCGCCTGACAGTCAGCGCTGAGGGGAAACACTAGATTGTGACATAACACACACACACACAGATGTTTTGAAGCCGCCTGGAGGTTTTTGGAGCTGTGTCAGCTTCTGTCAAAACATCCTCCTTCATCGCCCGCTCACTTCTCTTTATCACTTTAACCCCTGAGCTGCTGGGATAGAGGAGGCTGTGCAGCTTAAAGGACCAATACAGCTTTTTTTTTTGCTCATGGTAGGAGGAAGAGGAGAAAGCTGACACCTCTGACGTCTAAATCTGCAGGCCGCAGATAGTTAGTGTTTCACAAAAACACAAGAGAGGCAGCCTGGTTGGTCCAACAGAGACAAAGATTCACCTTAGCAGCTTCAGAGCTCAATAATAATAATAACCTAATCTTTTATCTCAGGTGTGGATCCACACACTTTGCTGCGTATCTCCTGCACACCTGCCTCACATCTGTGCTAAAGCTACCTACACACTCCACAGGACAGAGGTCGACTCAGTGGCTGTTTTCGAAACCACATACGATACTACTAGTACGTACTTATTTGGCCAGTATGCAGTATGTGAACAACTGCGAGATCCGCAGTATGCCAAAAATACCAGGATGTCATACTGATTCAGGAAAAATGTACAGCATGCATCGGACCAGTCTACCTCGCGTACTGTTTCCCACAATGCAAAGTGCCAGGTCAGAGTTCAAAATGCCGGAGTGCAGCTGTTTGAACTCGTCGGTGGCGGTGACTGAATATCTTGCCACATTATGGGCATGAACAAACATGACATGTTCATGTATCTATAAGTCTTACCACCTCAGATGTTCCTGCTTTGTAGACTGTACAGTTCATGTGTCACAGCTGGACCAGCAGCTGCAGCTACAGAGTCCTCAGCTTGCTCTTCATATTATTCACAGCTGAGTAAAAGTTCAACCTGAACGTCTGAAAAGTATACTACAACTTTAATAGCATGCCAATCATATTTCAACCCAGGGCGAGGTGTATAAATGAATATATGAGAGATTGTTTTATTTTAATTATGTTAATTACCTCCAGATGGGCTTTTGTTTACTTCTGCATTCCAGAACCGGAAACCAGTTTAACCGTGCCAAGCATACTGAAAAATAACCGACGACTGGCAGTCATACTACATACTACTATCTAATAGACAGATAGATAGTAGTATGTAGTAAGTGGTTTTGAAAACAGCCAGTCTTTCACTCGTCTTCAGATTGTCCGTTTACCCACCGCGGTTTTCAAGTCAGGCTTTTTATTTAAGCAGATTTGAAAACTTCAGGTTCACTGTATTTATGAGATTCAGAGGTGCTTGTAGGTGGATTTTATAACCTCTAAAGTTTCAAGGTAGTGGGTCGCTGGTGGCGCAGTGGTTAGCTGGTGGCGCAGTGGTTAGCGTGCGTGCCCCTATAGTCCTCCAAGCGGATGGCCTGGGTTCAAAACCCACCTGTGGCTCCTTCCCCGCATGTCATTCCCAACGCTCTCTCTCTCCCCGTGATTTCTGACTCTATCCACTCTCCTGTTTTTACATTAAAGGCACAAAAAGCCCACAAAAAACTAACTAAAAAAGATTTAAGGTAGTGGCTTCTGTCCTGTTTGAAGTGTTTGTGCTAAGCTAACTGGCTGCTAGGCCTCATATTAACAAAACAGTAAACATTTTGATCTGTGAAAGAGAATTACAATGTGCCTCTCAAAGTGTTAAAATAAAACTGTTAATACAGCCTCATCTTGTCATTGAGTGTCTTAACTTCAGTCTCTTTGTCCTCTGTGAAAGTTCAAGTACAGTCGGCCTCTCTGCAGAGTTCAACGCCACAGATGTCAAAGACAAACAGTCAGAGACGGGAAACTGACGAGTGAAACGAGAGACAAGTTCACCCTGAGGTGGAGGTTCGACCTCTTCAGTTATCTGATAGCTGGACAGAAATGAACCTAAAGGTGCTCTGACCCTGAGCTGGAGGTCAGAGCCGACCTGATGACTCCACAAACATCCCAAACAAGAATAAGGTCAGACACAGAGAGAGTCTGTGAGGCCAAGAAGAAGAAGATTATTATTATTCCATTCCAAATCCAGAACTTCTTTCAAAAACACGTCTGAAACTTTGAGCCCACATCGATAAAACTAGAACGATCACATACTGGTGTGAAGCGTCAGCTTTACTCAGAATTGACTTTAAGTTATTTTGACAGTGAATAAGCAACTTCCAACACAGATTCTAATCTTTAACTTCATAAATATAAAAGTAATGGCCTTTTTTCCACAGCTTTGAAAGACATGTCAGGTTTTTGTGCCTTCATTTGAGAAACAGGACATTGGACAGAGAGAGAGTGGGGAATGACATGCGGGGGAGGAGCCACAGGTCTGACTAGAACCCGGGCCAGAGGTGCCCAGATTCTTTTTAAGAAAACAGAATAAAACTCACACTGCAAAATGTTTTTTCTTATCAAGTGTATCCGTCTTATTTCTAGTCAAAACATCTTATTAAACTTATTTTAATCCACAAAGGGAAAATCTCCAAACAACCATTTTCTGAAAAGTGGAGCAGGCAGAAGACGGAGAGGATGGACTTTTCTCATCATTGGGGGGTTTGTAGACAGACTAGAGACACATGTTAGAGAAACATGGGGAAGTGGATTTTACATATTAAGTGACCTTTAATAATGCTGCTTGTTTCCTTATCTCTACCAGTTTCCTTCTTCTGACAGATTCAGATCACATCTCGTCCTTCTGGTGCTGCTGACAGGAAACACCTTAAAAGTTTCCCCTTAACAAATCAGAGAGAGAGCTTTCTTTTAGTGGTCACATCTGGTGTTTCATGTTTTATATTTATATAAATATGTGAATCAAGGACAAAGAAACAAATCAGAGTTTTACAAAAATGATCGTATAGAGAATCTGTTTGCTTCTTTCTACAGAGAATTATAAACAGTCAAAACAAACTGTGGCATCTCGGCAGCAGAGAAAATTCTGCTTCTTCATTTTATTTTTTTAATCCGATTTGATTGAAAATGAACCTCACAGTTCTTCTTACATTCAGAGACGGTGCTCAGTGCGTTCATACAAAACATCTCAGCTCATGAGAACCTCCGAGCCCGTTTCCACCAAGCGGTCCGGTTTGGTTCGGTCCGGTTTGGTACAGTAAACCCTGAACTTGCTTGCCGTTTCCACAGCCGACCGTGATCAGAGTGTAAGCCAGATGGAGATAGCCGCGTCAGATATGTAACAGTGTGACCTCACAGCAGCCCAACACAGTGTGGCCCGCTTTCAGAAGAAGAACGGGGACACAGTAAATAAGGGATCCTTTAGGGTCAGGTCGGTACCCCTGGAACCCGAACAGAAAGGAAACAAAAAAGTAGGACGGTATGAAGCCCTTATTTTGGTACCATTCCCAACTTTTGATGGTGGAAACGCCAACAAATGGGTACAGTACCGAACCGAACTGAACAGGACCGCTTGGTGGAAACGGGGCTCTAGAATCCGGTGTCATCAATCCGGGCCTCGCACAGGAGAAGATTAAAATCATCTTCCTCTGTAACAGTAATGTCTCTGAAGGGATCCTCTCAGAGTAACAGTCTGAGCCTGTCAGGGACAAAAACAACGACGACTTTTCTCTGCCCTCCAAAGATGATGTTGCAGCCTTCACAGCCTGTTGTACGGCTGCAGGTCGAGCAAATCTGTCATTTAGAAACAAAAATATGCAAAAGTCGTACAAAGGATTTAAATAAAAGTTATTCTTTGACACTAGACATCGTGGAGACGCAGACGTGTAAGAAATAGATTTCTACGATGATCAAAGGTGTTAAAGTGGATTTAAACATCTTGATTCAAATGTTTCTTTTGGTCTTTTTCAACACTTTGTAAACTCTGTGTTTCTGTTAGGATCCTGTGGGAACGATCGGCCTCTTCTCCAGTGCTGTCATCTGATTGGTTGGCGTTGGATATCTGTCTATTCATGAGACAGACGCCTGGTTTCCGTTTCATCCTCATCGTCTCACCAGGATGTCCTTCCATCTTTACATTCAGAGTCCTCTGAGGCTTTAAACAAAACCTCTCAACCAGCTGACAGAGTTTGACGTCAGCAGAGTGAAACAGATGTGCTTCATCGTTTTGGGTTATGACGGAGCGTCACCTCGTTCCTCCCGACAGCTACGACCCCCCCGAGCCCGACGGAGACCAGACCTCATCCTGAGAGTCCAACTCTTCCAGTTTCCGGGTGCCTGCTTCCCCCCCCACGGCGGCTCCGTTGATGTCCATCAGCGGGACTAAGGAGTAATCTCGATGTGCAGAAAAGCGAGCGGCCGGCGATCCTCGACACGCACGGACGAGGTGCAGCGTCAGGCTGAGTGACAGCAGAGAGGCCAGAGAGACGGTGAGGATCAGCCATGTTCCTCTGAGGAGAGACACAGAGGGTTACATCACTCTCTTTGTTCACAACATGGAGGGACATAAAGAAAATATCAAGGAGGAAAGAGAGAGACTGTTTAGATGTTGATCAGAACTTTTCTTTCTCTCATTTCTGATGTGTCCGAGGTCAAGCATGTGTTAGTGAGCTATCATGCTAACATGCTAACAATGATACCTGTAAGTATGGAAGCATTAGGGCACACTCACACTGGGCAATCTGTACCATTCCTAAGCTCACCCCTACAGTTCAGGTCCTTTGACGGACGCGGACCTGACCATGCGTCTGTCCTGTAAACTGAGCACGCTTCATGATCACATAAATCCATGAATGTGTTGTGTTACGACGTTACAAGAGTAACCGTGCACAGGCCCGGTTAGTCCTGGAGCAGTGTGACCGCAGACCAGCAGGGGACTGAGGAGGGGGGGGGGGGGGGGCAGTTGGGCCTAGGGGGAGTCCCCATTAGTCTTAGAGTCAGACCTTCTGAAAAATGACATTTCAAGCGATTTCAGCGTCCTAGACAAATTTCCAAAGTGAGAATAAAATCCTGAGAGTCGGTGCGTGGTCACATGATCTCACTCGTTCGGTGTAAGGGGGCAGCCCGGGTTCAAGTCCCACCTGTGCTTCTTTTCCTGCAGGTCATTCCCCTCTCTATCTCTCTCTCCCGATTTTACTTTTACTTTACTCTTTGTGTTATTTGTGTTCAGTGATGTGATCATCGTCAACAACCAATAGGAGCGGTCACACCAGCACCAAACAGGAAGCTGCAAACTAGCAAACATGGCAACATGCAGTTCTCTTCGACGTTGTAAAGGAGGAGAAACTGGGGCAGTTGTGTGTCCTCCTCTTAGTGGAGGAGGGTGGAGAAGGAGAAAAGGTGGAGAGAAAGTGATCCTCCCGCTACATGGCGAGCACATTTGAGGAGCGACAGAGATTTAAAAGTCATTAAAGAGAGTAACTGTGTTTCCAAAAATAAGTAAGAATCTGTCTTTACAGCTTCGGGTTAAAACAGATGAAGCCCTTTTCTCCATCTCGGTCCCCCTTCACAAAGCACTCTGCAGTTACCACGGCAACGGCTAACAATTCCCCCACTTGCATGTGAAAGGTAAGGAGGCTAATGAATGCGTGCGTCCTCAGACTCGACGGCCGGGTTTACGTTTAAAGAGAGTCGAAGACTAAACTTTTGTTTTGAAATCTCTCTCAGCTGTTTGAGGTTTCTCGTTCTCTTTCATTTAGTGTCTGAAAGAGAAGATTAACCAGCCAGAAGTCTAAAGGACGGTCAGCAGAGAGGAGAAGGTCAGAGGTCAGGGTCTGTTCAGGTGACGTGACCTTTGACACTTACTCTGTTAGAAGAGGTCGCTCCCTGTGAGCTTCTTCATCTCTCCTCCACAACGAGAACATCTGATTGGCCAGACAATGACCAGCTGTGGACGAGAGAGAGAGAGAGGAGAGATAGAGGGAGAGAGAGAGAGGAGAGAGAGAGAGAGAGAGAGAGGAGAGAGAGAGAGAGAGAGAGAGAGGAGAGATAGAGGGAGAGAGAAAGAGAGAGGAGAGAGAGAGAGAGAGAGAGAGAGAGAGAGAGGAGATAAAAGGAGGAAAACAAAAATGGATGTTAGAAGTTTTTTCACCACAGTCACTTTATTCATAATAATTCTTTTTTACAGCTCTTCTATGAACTCTTTATTTTGGTATCATTAAATTGTTGTAGAAATATTTTAAACATTTATTTTATTTGCATGAAAAACACAAAGACTAATTCCTTAAAGGTTTAAACCTCCTCGTCATTAAACCACATTCTGATTAATTGTACTTCTCTCATTTTATAACTTTGGTTCTCTTTTTATGAACAAACGTGTTCTGAAACGACGATAAACAATCCTTGAAAAGGTTTGGAGTCATGGAGTGTGTGTGGGGAGTTCTGGGAGCTGAGAAACATTTCCAGTCCTCCCAGTCGAGTCGACACAGAGCTGCTCTGTTTGCACTGACGGCAACAACGACACGACTGTTTTGACGTCTGCTCAATGCACACACACACACACACACACACACACACACACACACACACACACACACACACACACACACACACACACACACACACACACACACACACACACACACACACACACACACACACACACACACACACACACACACACACACACACACACACACACACACACACACTCTCTTCAAACAGTAATAAAACTCTGTGACTTTTCAAACACACACTGAGGCCGATAACAACAAACATTCAGGCTCACGCTTCAAATGTTTTTCTCTCTCACTCTCGCTGAGACTCATCAGAAACAGACGGACTGAACGCCACTCCTTCAGGAACGTAAAGAACTTAACAATGATGGCGTGCATGCTTTGGAGGGGAGGAGCTTCTCATCTGAACACACATGTTTTTAAGTTGTTAATTGGACAGTAAACGATGCAGCGCACTCAAAGGGAAGTCTTTACTGCTAACTGCTCGATACTCTAGAGTTACCGAGAAGTTAGCCGTCGTTCCCAGAGCCGCGAGCGGACTGCACAATGTTTGGTTGTGTGAGTCACAGCTGCAAACCAATCAGAGAGCTTCTGATTCGAGGTCGTGTCTGGAACACCACACACAGTGCTGTCAAAGTTTAAAGGAGGAGTCAGTAAAAACTGTTCACTTCAGTTTGTAAACACAAGCCCCTCCTCCAGAAGCTCTCACTCACTGCAGGGCATATGGTGCGTTCCAGTTGATCTCGCAAGTGGGAAATTCCCAGTTCCCAGTCGAAGTGTCAACTGGAGCGCCCCCTGAAGTCGTAATTACGACTTGGAATCTCGGAAGAAAAAAAAGTAGGACTCCTGACTGATTTTATTTGGTTTTATATTTTGCTGTGTTGTCTGAGTTTTTAAATTAGTTTTGGTTTATGTTTCATGGAGATGTTGTTCTTGTGTTTCTTGTCTTCTGTGTGCTCCTGTTGCAACGCACATTTCCCCTTGTGGGACAATAAAAGAATCTGAATCACGTGCTCCTAAAGGGATGTTTAAGATGTAACTGTTGAGTTTATTAGCAGCTCAGTCGTCTTCTTCTGTAATTAAATCAGTCAGACCGATGGTACCGTGTTCTCTCTGTGGAGGTGTTTTCATGTTATTTTCAGTCAGAAATGATCACGTAGTGTGTTGTTATCGTCTGGTATTAGCTAACAAAACAAAGGTACTCCTGGAGGCGTCCATGTTGCTTTTTTCCGACTTGAAACTGGAACGCAGTTTATTCAGGTGTGACGTCATTCCCAGTTCCGACCACCGAGTTCTGAGGTAAATGGAACGCGGCCCAAGTGTGTACGTTTACTGCAAGGTACTGCATGCTAGCACAAGCTAACCGCCGGTGTTTCGCTGCATTCCTCAGGAGACCCCCCCCCCCCCCCCCGCCTGACAGGGATAGTCTCCCCCTGTGAGGTGCATGTGTGAACAACCAGGTCAGGAGAATATCCAGAGCAGTCCTCCTGAAATTATCTAGATATTTACAGTAGTGCAGATGTGAAGCTAATGTTGCATCTCACCTCCTCCTCCTCCTCCTCCTCCTCCTGCATCATTCAGCCCATCCTCTGATCTCCTTTTTTAACGTTCTCACCGTCACACAAAGCGGGTCAAACCTACACGTGGCTGCAGAAATAATTGGCCTCTACACACCCAACCTCGCGTCATCAAACGCATTTCAACAACAAAAGAAGAGGACGTCACACGCCCACTGAATCAGCATCTTACTCCTCTGCCCTCTGGGTGAAGGTACAGAGCACTCAGTTCAATTCAAACTACTTTACTAATCGCTCTTTGGGAAACTGGTTTGACGCAGCTTGTACTAGAAAAAGTGATAAAATAAAGAATATGACCAAAGAGGAGATACTAAAGTTCAAGACGCTGATAAGTGATCAACCTGAGTGGATAAAAAAACATAAAAAGACCGTCGAATAAAAGAATGAAAGATCTGTGGTGCAAAAAGGATAAAAAGTCGGTAACAATATAAAAACCTGAGGAGCATTCAGTCATCTGATTGAAGAGCGGATCAAAGATTTAGAAAGACGGTTCAGTTTTTTTCAGTTCAAACATAACAACGTCGTCCTGATGGAGAAAATTCACTAGAAAGCAGAGGACCAGAAGAAGCTCAAATACTTTCTGGCTTTCAGAGGATCTGCTGGTTACAGAAGGAATCCTACCAGGCTCAACCAAGCCAATAACTGCCCTCAATGGAAGAACGTGCGACTTTTTGATCCAGTAGATGTCGCCCTTGAGCTCCAGAATGAAACCAAAACAAACTGCTGTTAGGCCACGCCCCCTCCATACTGAAGCCTCCGCTCTCCTCCAGAGACACACCTCCAACCCCCCTCCTCTCGTTTACATGAAGACGTCAAGCGCAAGCAGCGGACATAACTGTCCTCAGCTCGAGCTGCGATCACCTGTGTCCTGCATTGTTGTGTTAGCATGCTAATGTTAGCGCTCTTTAGTTAGCTCGTAGCTTCACATTTCATGTAAACTGACACAGAATGAGCGTGATCTAAAAACTCTTACTAACATCCAAATAATCAGTGAGTATGTTCTTCTTCTTCTCTCTAGTTCTTGACTAAAACAGCTTTTATACACAAGGGGAGGAGCCGGCCGTCCCGTCCATGTAAACACGGCTCTGACAACAACACAGCCAGCGGGACTCGAGCTTCTCCCTCATTGTAGAGAAGTCTTCCTTTAACAGAAGGCGTCTCTGAATAGGTTGTGTGTGTGTGTGTGTGTGTGTGTGTGTGTGTGTGTGTGTGTGTGTGTGTGTGTACCTCTGTGTAAGGTGTTGTTGGTCTCTCCTGGCAGTGTGGCGTTACAGCTTCCTGTCTGAGGGTCACATGGACACTGATTTTCACAGCGACACTCCAGAGAGCAGGACGGGCCGAAGAACCCCAGAGGACACACTGACGGAGAAGAAGAGACAAAATCAACGACCTGTCGGAGATGAAACGGCGAGGTCTTCATATAACTCCACCTCACATTGTCTGAATAAAGACGAACTCGATACGATTGGTTGTCATGTTGTAGCGTGGGATGCGGCTCTACCTTGTTCACAGGTGCTGCCGTGGAAACCAGGGAGGCAGGCGCAGCGTCCACGGACGGGGTCGCAGGAACCGCCGTTGATACAGGTGCAGGTTTTTTTGCAGCCGTCACCATAGAAACCGGGGAGGCACTCTTGGGATAGGAGGAGAACTCAAAGTCACAACAACGCGGACTGCAAAGGTAGACGCTAACGATGAGATAGCCAAAATGACAACGCTAAATGCTAACGTTTGCTGGCCGGCCGGTGTGTGTGTGTGTGTTTGTGTGTGTGCTTGTGTGTGTGCTTGTGTGTGTGCTTGTGTGTGTGTGTGCTTGTGTTAAAATTGCTGCATTATCACAGGTCAGTGTGTTAGCTCTCGGCTCACATTCCTCTCTTCATGTTTATGTCCTGTCGTGTGTGTGTGTGCGTGCGTGCGTGCGTGCGTGCGTGTGTGGTAAGCGGAGTGAAAGCCTGATGCCGATAGCTACGACAAGCGTGACATCATAGGAGCGGGACACAGTGTAGCCCGCCAATAAAGTCAACAAAGAAGAAGAACGTGACACAGTAAACAAAAGGTAACGAGGGAGGGCGTCCAGCTAAAGGTCAGCACCTCCGAGGTCGTCCATGGGGCGGAGCTTAGTGCTGACATTAGTCTAAAAAAAAAAATGACTCTTGAAATCCACAGGATATTTAAACATGGCGAGTTTTGTGTTTGTCCTTTATTACTGCTGTCATTCACAAAATGAAGGTTATTTCGACCAATCAGCGGACTGCAGTGTTTCTAGCTCTACCCTTCAGGCTCGGTGTGGTGCGCTTGGCAAAGTAGGACGGTACAGATCGAATACTTTTGGACAATTCTCAACTTTGGACAGAGGAACAGAACCGTACTGAACCTGACCTCTGGGAGAAAACTCGGCTGGAGTTACCTTGGCTGCAGTTCTTTCCTCTCCATCCAGCATCACAGACACAACCACCTGAAACACAGAAAAACAAAAACATAAAGCATGAGAGAGCAGCTCTGTGCAGACTGAAGACGGCTTCTCTCAACACTCAGACGCTCAACAAGATCAACCTGCACTGAGCAGAACAAATTTGCGTGTTAGCGTCTGACTATCATCAGCGCTGTATGATATGTGAATATGACCTTAAGACGGAGCAGTAGAGAGAGAAGGATGCACAGAGTATGTTTTAGTGATTCATTCTTAGTGAAACAACAGTCATGCAATAATTCTTCCCTTTATGAAGGTTGAGCGTGTTTTAATGCCGTTTTCACACTGGCAGAATCTCCTGAAAAACTCCTGATATTTCCAGGAGGAACTGCATGTGTGAACGCAAACAGCCAAATTTTTCGCTCTGCCAGAACCCTTGTATTTTTTCTGCAGTGAGGGGGGCTGATTTGAGAATGCAGCAGGATATTCTCCGGAGAATTCAGCTCGAGCCAATAGGAGGGGGGAAGTGATGTTTCTAAATCTAGACCTCTGATTCTTCATCTCCAAACTCACCAGCCGTGCAGACACCGTGGGGTTCACAGTCCGCCTGCTGACACACTAAAGAGTCACAGGCGTCTCCCTGCCAGCCCTGCTGACACCAACAGCGTCCGTCCACACACTCTCCGTGCCCGCTGCAGTTTGCCACCTTGCAGCGCCGCTGGTGAACGCACAGGATGGTGGAGACGCGACGGCCACAGCGCCACCTGCCGTCTGGTATACTGGAGAAGTGACAAAATAATAAAGACACCAAAAAGTCCAGAGAACGCCTTTTGAGAAGTAAAGAAAGGACTTTATTCCTCTTGGTTAAATTGTCTCACCAGTGATCAGACGGGTAACTGGCTAATCTGCCATTAACCACATAGGTGGAGGACCCGCCTCCGTCCAGGTTTATGGCGTTTATGATGCCATACTGCTTCAGAGTGTCAGCAACCTCCCACAGGCTCATTCTGCACAGAAACACACGATTAAAGGACATTTATTACAGACTGTGATGAAAAGAAACACTGAGACTACAAAATGATTGTTGATCCTTGCTGGTGGGATTCAGTGTAGTGTCTGTGAAAATTGATGTAGATTTTAAAGGGGACATATTATGAATAATCCTCTTCTACAGTGTTTGTGAACATATATCTGGGTAACCTGAGAGTCTACAGACCCACAACATGTGAAATAAACCCATCCAGTCCTTTGTTTGTGGTCTGCATAAGTCTTACAACACAGAGAAAAATGCTCCGTTTCAAAATGTCCTCTCCTTGTGATGTCACAGTGGGATTCTGGTAATAAAAATCCCCTCCCCTCTCCTGGTATCTCCACCCATGGACTCCACCCCCGGCCTAGAACAAAACTTTTGAGCATGTCCGCCATTTTTATTCTCTCTACAGAGGAGTGATGTCTACGGGGAAAACTCAGGGGGCGGGGTCATTACATTTAAAGAGACACACACACCAAAACGGAGCGTTCTGAGAGAGCTGGTTTATACAGGGTCACAAACCTCCTCTGGTGCTTGATTCATGTTATATTTTGACCAAAGCACAGCACAGATGTTTCATTTAGACCACAGGGGGACTGTTTGAAAAGGTGGAGGAGGGGGACTGTTTGAAAAGGTGGAGGAGGGGGACTGTTTGAAAAGGTGGAGGAGGGGACTGTTTGAAAAGGTGGAGGAGGGGGACTGTTTGAAAAGGTGGAGGAGGACTGTTTGAAAAGATGGAGGAGGGGGCTGTTTGAAAAGGTGGAGGAGGGGACTGTTTGAAAAGGTGGAGGAGGGGACTGTTTGAAAAGGTGGAGGAGGACTGTTTGAAAAGATGGAGGAGGACTGTTTGAAAAGGTGGAGGAGGACTGTTTGAAAAGATGGAGGAGGGGGCTGTTTGAAAAGGTGGAGGAGGGGACTGTTTGAAAAGGTGGAGGAGGGGACTGTTTGAAAAGGTGGAGGAGGGGGAGAATATGTCCTCTTTAATGTAATGGTAAAAATCAGGATTTAGGTGCATATATTAAAATGCAAGATTGCTAACTTCCTCAAGTCAATGTCGTTCATGCTGTTAGGGGCTAAAGTTTAATTCTATTCTTCAGTCTTAGACTTGGATCTATAAAAGCACGTGTGGCGGTCCTCTCACAGCGCATCGTTTTCTCCAGAGGGTCAGCATGTGAGTGGGAGGTCTTGGTCAGGTCTGAGTTGTGCTCGTCTGATATTGAGCAGCAGAGATAAACACAGCACAGCGTACATGCACACACATGTCAGCTTGTTGTGCTTTCAAAGCCGGATCATTAACACAAACACATCAACCTCAAGAGCTGCTGCAGGTCTGACGGGTCACTGCAGGGGGGTGGGGTGAACGGATCAATACGATCGATGGGCTGAGGAGACGTGAGGCTGTTAGCGTTAGTTCATCTCGCAAAGTAACCCTTTTACTGCTCGCCCATTTATCACCTATACAATCAGGTTATTTTTACTCTCTCCATCTTTTTGTTTTTTCTTCTTCAAGTCGACCTGCATCGTTCTTCTCAATAACACTAATGTAAGTGCAATCATCATGACGGTGCATTAGCCTCCATACATCTCAAATATCAACGCATGCATTCAATTCTCCTTTACTGTAAAAGGACAGACACATATTTAAAGGTGA